CGAAGATGGAGAATTTTTTACAATATGGCTTTAAATTTAATGATATATGCTTTTATTTTAATATCTTGTATAGTTCATTCGCCTGCGATAACTAATGTTTATTTATTTATTATTGTAGTCTTTTGGCACCCACGAAAGCAGTATTTTCGTTTTTTTTTTAATAAGTGAAAATTTGGTTTTTAGTTTATTAATAAATAATATAGCAATATTAAAAAATATATAAAGGTATTATTTTATAATAATTGTGGTGTAATAAAACCTTATTAATTGACTCTTAATGATGGTTTTTAATCATTAAATATTGATTTTAATGTTAAAAAGTACGACACGAACTAAAAGAAGAACATTCAGTATTAAAAATATAATTTATCAAGTAAAGACGATTACTTCAGTATATTTAACATGAATGGTGTATAGTGTGAATATTTAAAGAAGAATATTACCTCATTATTTTAAAAAACTTTTTAGTAAGTGATCGGTGGTATCTTTTTCGCTTCATTTTATCGAACACTTCTCTAGAACGTAAAGCATATTCCTGCGCGCGCGGAAGCATAGATGACAAGAGAGCAAGGTCGTTGTCAGCTTGTTAGCTTTATGGTTGTGGTAAATTGTTGTAGAGAGTCATTTAATCATTATTCACAAATTATTTTACATTATTTATATTCATTTTCGGAATGTGCGAATTGCGGTGATTGACTTATGTGTGTTATATAGTGCCTTCAATGAATTGAAAAACTTCTGATGTTTATACAGAGAAATAAATGTTTTAGATTTTGTGACACTAGTAAAGGTTAAGCGCAACTTGGAGCCCTAAATATTTCCAAATAATTTTGGTAAGCTAACAAAAGTTAATTAACGATTTTTTTTTAAATAAATGTAGTAGATGTATTGTGAAGACCGAGTAAATTTTAATCTATCATATAAAATTCGCCAAATTGTTTATTGCACCTGTCAGGTTGCACTGAAATTATTTTTAGAGTATGGCATTTAAAATTTGCATTGTAATAACTATAATCATAAACGTTTGCGTTATTTGCAGTTGTTATTGGACAGCTGTCAAGGCATTAATTTTTAATAATAAAGCAATATGCTTATAAAGATAGTTAAAATGAATGTCTATATTTTAACTACACCTAATTTGATGATTTATCCAGAAAAATAAAATTTGTGTATAAAATATAACTTGTAATTTATTAATGACACGTTCTATTTTGTTGTCAATCCTTACATATTTTTTATATAACTAATCATACAAATTGACAGTCAACCGATAATACTAAGAACATTGTCAAAAATTTTTTTTTAAAATAGGGTATTTTCTTCTTAAGCAAAAAGGTATAATATGTTTAATATTTCACAGGAGACTACAAACAAAAAATGGNGTTATAACATATTTCGTTTGCACTGAATTTCTTTTAATTTAAATTTGATTCACACCCAAAAAGTTAATTAGCTGGTTTAGGACAATTCGAATTCCTGTCCAAATTTATAATAAGAGGATTTTTTTTTCGATATTGTAGTTTCACAATTGATCTAACGCATAAGTTATTCAAATTTTTGAAATCGTCTTTTAAATGCCTATATTTTAATATCCTACCAAATATTTGCCTATTTTTAATGTATGAATTGTCATTAAGTACTTTTTGGAGGTTTAAATGAAATTTTATTTTGTTTTTAGCGAATGCACCTAGCAGCAGTGGTAGCGCTACTTCTGCGCCTCTTACGGTTGTGCAGCGTTCGTTTGGTGGTCGTTCCGTAACGATTTCGCGGTGTAACAACTGTGGTAATCAGAGCGAACGGGCAGACACGTTTCGCGAACTCCAACTGTCCTTCCCCAGTAGCAGCGGCGACGAGCCTTCGTCCATCCAGCACCTGGTCGATTACTATTTGCAACCGGAACGTTTGTGTGATGACAACCAGTATCACTGTGATAAATGCGGTGGCCTGACGGATGGCGAACGTGTCACCAAAGTCGTGGAACCGCCTCCGCGGCTTGTGCTCACACTCAAAAATTTCCGTTACGACTCAGTCTCACAGCAGCGCACGAAATTGCTTCAACGCGTTAAATTAGACGGTTCGATAAAGTTAGAGGGGGCGCAATACAACTTGTACGCGACTGTAGTACATTGTGGCATGAGTCTTGATTCGGGACATTATTACACCTTTGCAAAGGATGGGGCTACCGCCACACAACAAGAGTGGTACATGTTTAGCGATTGCGTGGTGACACGTGCAAGCGAATCGATGTTGGGTAACATGAAACATCATGAAACTCCATATATACTGTTTTACAGTCGAGAGGATTGCGTGGATCCGGCTCCATTGCCTCGGAGTGCGTTGTCCCCCAGATTGGAGAATGTCGTCCTGAAGGATCTGTCAGAAAACGAGAACGAAAGAAGACGGGCTGCAATAAGGACGGTCGCGCGTAATAATAGAAACGACGATCCTCCTCCTCCTGGATGCAGTGGAGGCGGACTTTTTAACCCCTCGCATACGCGGTTCGTTTGTTAATAATATGGTAACATTTTTGAACAGGGTTGGACGCGACAAACATGGGGAACGAATTTATATTCTAATTTTTGGAGTTTTTCGTGTCTCGCCCTGTATTNTTGGTACCTTCAAATACCTAGGATTAAGGACATTAATGAGCGCCTTTTTCATCATATACAGCATACAAAATAAAAAACAATCCCGACAAATAATTTATTGACGAGCCAAACTCAGGCAATTACATCATATTTAAATGTATTAATGTAGTTTACTTTAATTTAGTTTAATATTTTTCAGTAGTTCAATCAGGACCAGAAATACTGACAACTGTGGTACCCTTAGGACCTAATGCAACACATATGATATGTCCACATTGTCACGCAGAAATTGATACTACTACGAAAACGCAACCAGGCTTAATAGCATACATTTCCGGACTTATTATTTGTTTAACAGGGTACGTATACATATTTATAATATACTTTTTCAAACAGCGATCGAATCGTCTTGTTTTCTTTTTCTACATTGATGAGCACAAAGTTGCTGTTATAAACTTTCCAGATGTTCGCGTAATTATATTTTAAAAGTTTCCGCGTGCATTTTAATTTGATTAGTGGTTATTTACAATTTAAACTTCTCAAATAAAAAAATACTGACGCAATTTCACTTAACGTAATTGATTGGCAATTCAATTCGTGCCAATGGCTTTATAATTTTCAAATGAATAATTAACGTGATTATTTTATCCAATTACATTAATTGCATTCTCTCTCTTTCTCTCTCTCCAAGCGGAAAATAGTTTATTGACTTTAGCTAATTTCGTTTTAAAATTTCCGTCTTACGCTGACATCACAAATTCGATTGTTCATTGGCAGACTCACGGTTACAATTCTGTGACGTCAGCAGTAATGCTTCAGGTTCAATTTTTTCTATTTACTATAAAGAAGCATTGCATCGGTTGGTAATCGAACCCTAGAACCCTAGTCGGACGCGTATCAAACAGGCATTCTACTGCAATACACCGTTTACGCCTCCTGTAGAAGCTTTCGTTGTTCACGTATCATATGCAAAAGATTAAATAAAAATGTTTTTTTTAGGTGTCCGTTTGGTTGTTGTTTAATCCCATGCTGTATTGACAAATGTATGGACGTACATCATAGCTGCCCAAACTGTGACACTTATTTAGGACGTTACAAAAGATAAAACAGTGCATCTTTTTTTAACATTAATCTTATGCACATTGCACATTTATTTTCATATAAAAAAGCAATATGGATTTAATATTTCTTCTTTGTAGAAGAAAATTATATTAAATATAATAGATTGTACAAGATTAGGGACAAATTCTTCCAACAGTGCTTCTGTACGTTTCTTCTTATTTATCAAGAAGTTGCCATTTATTCTAGCGTTTTTAAAATGTGATTAAAATATTTTTATAACAGTGTACGGGAGGAGTTTCGAAGATGGAGAATTTTTTACAATATGGCTTTAAATTTAATGATATATGCTTTTATTTTAATATCTTGTATAATTCATTCGCCTGCGATAACTAATGTTTATTTATTTATTATTGTAGTCTTTTGGCACCCACGAAAGCAGTATTTTCGTTTTTTTTTTAATAAGTGAAAATTTGGTTTTTAGTTTATTAATAAATAATATAGCAATATTAAAAAATATATAAAGGTATTATTTTATAATAATTGTGGTGTAATAAAACCTTATTAATTGACTCTTAATGATGGTTTTTAATCATTAAATATTGATTTTAATGTTAAAAAGTAC